AATGACAGGCTTGTCCTTGTTCATATCGGCCCGATCCCGCACATAGTCCTTGAAGGTGCCCTTGGGCTTGTGGTTGGGCAGGGCGGCAGGGTAGTCCTCGGAGTCGAAGCTGTCGTAGGAGGGGACGCGCTGCAGGCTCTGGAAGGAGGATTGGCTGCTCCAGGACTGCGTCAGGCGGTCGCAGCTGTCGTAGCTCTCTATGCTCTCGAAGGAGTCCTGGCCGCCCAGTTTACCTGCGGAGAAGATGGGCGTGTGAGATGGGCCTGTGCCACCGTGTCCCATCGCCAAACCAACTGAAAAATACGTCCTGGAACTGGGATGCTTTTGTTATCTTTGTAATTCAGAGCAGGGCTATGTGAGCCCTGGAGAAGTTCAGGCAGAGACAGGGGAAAATGCCAAAGTCCTGACTTTCTACCCAAAACTGATGCCTGGTGCAGACCGGAAACGGTCCTCTGTTTCAAAAAGTCAACAGCAGAGACAAAATGGACTTTAGACAGAGATTCAGGTGCCAGAACCTCTTGCTCCTGCTGCTGAAAGCTATGGGTCTCCAATAAATCTCGTATTATATCTGCCAGCCCTATATAAACGCTGCTCAGGTACATTCAAAGGGCACTGGACGCCCAGCTTCGTTACTTTTGATGTTTCCTACGAAACTCTACAGCTGCCTTTTATTGCCATATGCTACAAGCAGCTTCCACCCCCAAAATCCCCAAACAGCAGCAGATTTGATGGAAGAGGAGAGCAAAACAAATAACTCCAACAGTTATTTTTCCAGTTCTGGTAAGGTGAGCACAGCTGGGTCATATCAAGGCCACTCTCTGGGGTATTTTGACTAAAGACCAGAACATGAGAGGCCGGATCCTTAGCAATGTTGTGCTGCTTTACACCCACTAGAGTACTCAAAACAGCTAAAAAAGGAGCAAGCTGAAATTGCTCCCTCTGATCTCCCGTCCGCTGCCGATTGCTCAACTTCTTTACTGACAAATTCAAGAGCGTAAGAGGATCATTCGAGTTCACCCATTTCCCAAAGCGGGCTAAAAACAGCTGCTGGGATTGTGCAAGAACTCCTGGAGAAGTTTCCATTGGCACAGCTACCCGCGGTCCGGGCCCAGGGAGTAACTCCCAGGGGAGCAGGATCGTGGTAGGACGCTGGCACGGTCCCCCAAATACTTCTTGTGTTGTCATCTGAGGAGCACTTGCTGTGAAAAGACCCAACTACGGGGGCTCTGCCCTGATGCTGGCCCAAAAACCATTTGAATTTTGGACCCATTGGCTTGATTCTGGTGGTAATATCCACTCTTTAAGTTCACTTTTTATTCCTCATTACTCAGGAGCAACTTCTTAAAGAGTTTGGCAGCTACAGTTTCCAATCACTGATAAGGCAGAGTGAAACAAGCCCCGCGGGAGCACGAAATTCACTCCTAAAGCCCACACAAGGAAAGGCAAAAGGTCTGGAAAACCTTCATCCTGAATTTCCCACCGCTGAAGTGCTCGACTTTGAATACAGCGGAAGGTAAAGACATACATCAATAGAAATCAACTGGGCTCTGCTTTATATTAAGGCTTCGTTCTACTGCTCTGGGAGGATTTATGCCACCCAAAGGCCCTCGGACATGGCTAAAGTGTCACTTTAGTATAAGCACAGCCGTGGCCTGTTGTATTTCTCCAATCTCAATCGGTATTTTAAAGTGTTTCCTAACCCAATGCTGAGTTAAGGGCTCTTTCTTCCCTCCCCTGGGCCCTTTTTCTGCTTGCCAGCGAGACCAGGCTCAAGGTAGGATTGCAAAAGCACGCCTGAATCATCACATTTCAGCGAGGATTGTTATGAAATCACCTGTGCTAAAGAAAAGGTCGAGCAAAGGGAAAGATGCTGATGAAAGATAGCCAGAAAAACAACCCCAGAAAGAGAAGTTTACCTAATGTAATGAATTTTAGGCATGGAGACACTTGGTATTTGCAGGTCAGGTCTCCCTCTCATGCCTCAGTTTCCCTACCTGGCATTGGAAGATAACGATACTCCTTTGTAAGTGACTTTGGATTAAACTTTTGCTTTGAATTTATGCTGTGAGCCAGATCCTCAGCTGTGCATCAAGCGCTGTAATTACAAAGTAGTCGGGCATCTGGGCCCCATGTGTTCAGAATTTAATACTATTAATTGAAAAGGCATTTGGGCTCAGATCCCCAGAAGTGTTTAGGTGTTTAAATGCCATCATCTCAAACAGGAATGATGTATCTGTGGCTCTTGGGGTTGTAGCACAAGGATGCAGGGGGTCTTGCAGATCTGTCACTGACTCGGCCCATCTGCATCTCCTAACACAGCACAGGGCATGAGTTCACCAGAGCAGATGATCAGTTCAAGCAAACAGCCACCAAAATCAATGCAGAAAAGGGATAAAGACTTGGGATCATCAAGTGCAAAACCCTTCAGAGCATTGGACAGTCGTTCCTGATGAGAACTTGTGAACAGGGGGTCTTGCAGATCTGTCACTGACTCGGCCCATCTGCATCTCCTAACACAGCACAGGGCATGAGTTCACCAGAGCAGATGATCAGTTCAAGCAAACAGCCACTAAAATCAATGCAGAAAAGGGATAAAGACTTGGGATCATCAAGTGCAAAACCCTTCAGAGCACTGGACAGTCGTTCCTGATGAGAACTTGTGAAGGGTTTGTGGGGTTTTGCCCGCTCTCCTAGGAAAACGCAATTTATACAAGCACACAGCAGTCTGCCCTTCCCAACAACCTTAACGCCTGTTTCAACTTCACTCGCATTTGACATCAAAGCCCCACACCAGAAACGCTGTATTTTTGCAGATGTTGTAAAAACAGGCCACAGAGTAGAGAAAAGAAAGACCTTCTGTATGCTTTCCCTGGGGAAAAAGGCAGGGAGGGCTCAAAGCCATCAGGGAGCTCAACCTCATATGATATTTGGTTTCATTACTGGCATTGCACGGTGCCCTGATGGCCTTGGTGCCCCAAAAATACATCTCTTACAGAGGGGAAGGCAGCATTTACTCTGATACAGGTAGAGGTGACAAGAACCCAAGCAAAGCCTGGGACACGGCCAATTTTACCTCGACTGGCACGTCCCATGCACATGTTGTCTGGCGTCACGACTTCTTGCTTGATGGTGAAGTAGTCCGTCTGCAGGGAGTCCGTGGGGACCGGGTCCCGCAGGATGACCGAGGGGTAGTCGTTCTCGTACTTGAGGGACAGGAGCTCCTCCGAGCTGATGGGGTGCAGGGTCTGGTAGGACTCGGTGATGAAGCTGGGCTCGGAAAACTCGGAGGGGGGCACGCACTGCGCGTGCTCGATGCCATAACCTGTTGGAAGAAAGTGGGGGGATCAGAAAGCAACGCAAACACAAGCGGCTCAAAGAAAACACAGGGAGATTTGGGGTATGCAGTGCAAGAGGCACTGGATATAAAATACCAATTGGGCACTCCTTTTCAGTCCTATTTTCTAAAAGCTACGGAGAGAGATTGTGTATTATTATTATTATTATTATTATTAT